TTTGCTCCCCGTCTCCCTGGTCTGCTGGAGACCAGCAGACCAGGGAGACGGGGAGCAAAGCCTTGGAGGCTTTGCACCAGTGGTCCCTGGTCTCCTGGAGACGGTCCCCAGCAGACCAGGGGCACCCGGAGCAGCTTTTCTCGCCCCGGAGGTCGAGGTGGCGGGACCACTGCACTCTGGGCGGTCCCGCTGCCTGCGAGCTCCGGGGCAAGAAAGCCCCGTTCATAAGTGCGGATCCGCCATAAGTCAGATCCGCGTAACTCGAGGACTGCCTGTATATAACATGTCAATGTTTTCTATCAAAATATAGGCACACCAATACACAATGGGGTGACATTGTAACATAATATCATCCATTGACCCAACTTGAGCCCTAGGCCAAAAAAAAAAAAAAAAAAGCAATCATCAGGACAATGTAGGGATGTGGTGTTCAGAAATTTGGCTTGCACCCAAGGCCAAGCTATTTGCAACCACTTGTTCAAATAACAGGAATTACATCCATCACTCTGTACCAAAATGCCATTACAATGACTCTGAACTTCACCAACTGACTGCCATGCATGACTTCACAGAAAAGCACTACCACAAAATGCCTGTGTGCTGCATGAAAATACTGTGATGTAATAGGATGAACTTGTCCCAATCCCCCTTCCGCGAAGGCTCTAGAGTGCCTCGCCACAGTGCAACCAAGCACCATCATCCCATGTCATTACATTGACAGTGCTACAAGAAGACACCCTGAAAACAGCATTGCAATCCATGACAGGCTGCTTGCTTGGTCCAATGCAAATTCCAGTGTGCTGCATGAAAATACTGTGATGTAATAGGATGAACTTGTCCCAATCCCCCTTCCGCGAAGGCTCTAGAGTGCCTCGCCACAGTGCAACCAAGCACCATCATCCCATGTCATTACATTGACAGTGCTACAAGAAGACACCCTGAAAACAGCATTGCAATCCATGACAGGCTGCTTGCTTGGTCCAATGCAAATCACCTGCCATGAGGCTGTGGTGAGGTTCTGCGCAGTCCCAGAAACTCTGTGGACAGCAGGACTTACCCAACAATGGTATAATAGCATGTAGCCCCCAAGAAATGTCTCTGTACTTAGAGAGAGGTCCCTTGACATCAGCAAAAGGGCCATGAGGCCTCCCTGTGGTGGGAAACCCCTGAAGCCTACACAATCTTCTCAATGCTTCACCAGATGATCCTGCAGAAGCAACCACCATTTTTGCTGGGGACAACCTTGTGGGAGGAGCAGTGTGTGTCTTGCGGGGGGGTTCTCCCTTCCCCCCCCCCCCCCCAATGCTTCACCAGATGATCCTGCAGAAGCAACCACCATTTTTGCTGGGGACAACCTTGTGGGAGGAGCAGTGTGTGTCTTGCGGGGTGAGTCTTCCTCCCCCCCCCTCCCCACCCCGGCACAC